TGATTATATTTATCTGCAGTTAGTTACACAAATTTAGATATGAGAATAAGTTGTACTTACACACAATCTACTTGCAATCTTGAGTTTTAAGTAATATGCATTAATAAACGGTATTTTACGCATAAAAGGTGGTTTTTAAAAGTTTTTGTCAAATGCTTTATAATATAGTATAGATATAGATAGGATCAGGTTCAGGTTCAGGGAAAAGTGAAAACCGAGGAGTATCGTGGTAACCGTTCATATGCACATGTGCATATAAATAATTTCTAAACAATTTGTTTGGTATCATAACATGCACACGTGGATAAAGATCAAAAAACAACTTCAATTACTTGTATGTACATGTGTATGTCATCCAGATAGATAGATAGATAGATGGTTATCAGAGTATTTCTCAATATTTTTTTGGGTTTTTTAATTTTTTTGGGGTTTTCTGAACCTCCTTCTCTCTCTCCACACACACACACACACACACACATATATATATATATACATATATATAGATTTAGATCATGTGAGACCAAGAGTTTTTCGGGAGACCCGTAAGACTAATTCTCAACCTTTTATTAGATCTACAATCTGAACATTCATAATCACAAAATTGCCACGAGACTTCTCAATAATCACAAAATTGTCACCTAGCAACTTTAGACCATTAGATTATTATCTTATAAAGTTGATCAATGAATATAAATTGGTCTTATGGGTATCACGAAAAACCTTTGATCTCACGTGAACCCAACCCTATATATATATATATATGTGCATGTGTGTGTGTGTATGTATATATAGGCGAAAGATCGTGTGAGAATGAGAGTTAAGGTGAGAGACGAAGGATTGTATGAGAAGGAAAGTAAACGTGAGAGAACCATTGATCACCTTTAATTTCAAACCCACCTATGAATAGCGCCTGATACGTGGATTGATCCGGTGCATCTTGGTGTATCTCATCCTAATGTGCACCTAAGGGTGAAGATCATTTTTTACGTTTTTCAGTAAAACTCTCTTTCTCACCTTAACCCAGCCCTAAAGTGAGAAGCTTAAGAGGGATCTTGATCTTTGATCACTTTTAATGTCAAACCCACACATGAATCACGTTTGATACAAGGATTAATCTGGTGCATCTCGATCGGTGCATCTCATCTCAATATGCATCCAAACGTAGAGATTTTTTTCTTATGTTCCATCTTAACTTCTTTTCTCACCCAAACCCAACCCTATATATATATATATATATGTGTGTGTGTGTGTGTATATTATAGAAGCTAGCCCTTTTTTTCTACGATGGGACTTTTGGAGAGTAGTACATGGTATAGATTATGGCTGATATAGCAATACCTTCGAAATCATCAACATTTCACTATATCTAGTCCCAGATGCATACATATCTGATACGAAAATCAATCATCACAAACTATTTTTAGAACCCTAGGACAGATTGAATATATACTCGTCATCCGTAAATACAGAACATGGCCTGCAATGTGATCTCCAACCTTCGCATTCATTCTATAGCCTTCGTTGGTGGGGGGCGTGATTTACATCAGCTAGATCCCTTCTCTCGTTGATATAGCTCCTTTAGAAAGTAATCTCATTAAATTCCACATATTCTGACAAGTTTGTCCATCAACTGATCTATCTTGATCGGTTCCTATACATATATATATATATATATATATATATATATATATAAACGAGAAAGTCTCTAACCATCTTTGGAGAAGCAAATACTTTGTTGTGTTACCACAATGCTAACACCAGCTAACGGTGAAAATCACATTTCGTATCGATCTTTAATCTAAATGAGTCAATGAACTGTGCAACCATATCCTTAAAAACAATATTATATTTATCTAATGATCGATCTTCATCGCAGCAAATTAAGCAGTGTTCCCCATTCTTCTAGCTTAGTAAAAGTATCAACCAGTACCTTGTCCTAGTTTTGAATATAACATAATGCGTCCTATGCATCATTTAGACCAGCTTCTTGTTTCCGGAAACCGCTACCACTTTTACACCAAAAAGGACATCCTGTAGCTATCTGCACTTGTGCTTGAAGGACTTGCGAAATTTGGTTTTCTTTCTATGCACATCAACAACCATTTCTTCATTATTGTGAGCTTTCTTGCACTCAAAACACACTAAAAAACAATCCTGCTGTACTACTTCTGGTATCGTCTCTTAAATCAAAAGCTATCAGGTGTTTTCACTACAGTTGAACTCACTCTCATCTCAATTCTACCATCATAATTATATAAATAGAGAGAGGGGGGAAGTTCCATTAGGAATCCGGAACCGCCTGCAATGCATCACGTGTCCCTACTCAAATATCCATCATAAATAACACATTCAGATGAATATGAAAGTGTTATTAATTATTAATCACACATTCATGATGAATATAAACGTGTTCTATACGTGTTATTCATAATGAATAACACCCCAACGTACATGCTATGGGCAGCTTCCTGGGTCTAATTAATTTTAGGTTTGTATCAAAAGCTACCCATATATATACTCATACATATATATATATATA